AGTGGTGTAATAGGAAGCCATGAGGAGAACACATAAAGAATATCTATATTATGAATTATAAAGAGTAAATGCCATGGGAACTTCTGCTTCCTGTATCTCCTAATAAATGAGGAGAGACACATTTGAGATGAAAAGGCCACAAAGGCTTAAGAGGGATAAAATTATTTTTTTTTTTATAGAGTATATGAAGTGAACTGTAGAACTTGCTGCCTTATGACATTGCTAAAGGAAATACAGCTGCCAGAAGTTTATAAGCTTTTGAATAACTCTATTATAGGAACTATGACAGTATCTATGACATTATGATAACAAGAATAAATATGTCTAGTTCTACAAGCTGTCGATTTTCAGAGAGTCCTGTAAAACATGGCATTGAAAAATGCCAGGACTTGTACTCTATTAAAAATATGATTTTACATGAACAGGGAAATACACGTGCAATTTTTGTTGTCATTCTCTGCCTCTTCTGGTACAAGTCACTCAAGAAACAAAGGACTTGGTCATAGTGACCCCAGCTCAGCCCTCTCTTCCAGGCAGGAACAACTGTGCATATCAGTTTTGAGGGAACTACTATCTTCTCCTAATTAAGCATTTCTTGTGCTTCATTTTCTCAAGCCACAGCACAAAACATGGCAAAAGTAGGAAACTGTAGTAGCTGGCTGTTGGCTCTGTAGTATCCTCCCACTCACATTATCATGACATTAATGTCTCACAACTATCATGAATATTGATATGGGACATACCCATACATTTATAGATGGTTTCTGTGGTAAATACCATGTCTTCTCTATCTTTTTACTTATGCTAGTGCAAGGTGTTTAAAATGAGAACTTCTCCATCCAAATTTGGGTCTCCTGCTGCAAAGCAAGGTAAGCACATATCTTGCTCGTATGCTTCACAGCAGTTTGCTGACCGGAGGAGAACAAGGAATGTTTGAGGCACCAGCACTGGTTTGGAGGGTCATGTGTTTGCTGTAGTTTTTTGCAGACACATTTTGTCCCTCTTCCTCTGCTTCCCCACACCAGGCTCTTTTTATTTACAGCCTCTCCAGCCCATCTTCTCAGCATCTCATTTTGGTACTAGTTTCAGTCCTTCTCACCCACATGTTGTCTAATCCCTGATGTGTCTCCTTTGCTTGTCGGAGTCTCTTCTCTCTTAATCTTCCTGGCTCATTTCCCTAAGTGCCTGAGAGTGCAAAATAAATGCAGGTGCTCAGGGCTCCACTCCTCTGCCCAGGCTCCATGTAGCAGATGCTCTCTGTTCAGGCCCCTCACACTGAGCTGGAAGTTGTTCCTTCACTCAGTGGATCTTGAGATTTGTCACTGTTCGTTTGAAGTAGAGATTTTTTTAAAGACTTGTAACATTACAAGAGTCGGATAGTATTTCATAGAGATTGCAAAAATTATAAGCTTGGCTATCACAATTCAAATCTTCATCCTAAAGACTGGAGAAACTGGAGCTCTTCAGGGAAAAAGGGATTTTTGAAAATTGTTCTTCCCCCTCCCTTTTTTCCCCCCTAAATTATCAAATCCCGTATGTATATCTAGCTTTCTTCTGAAGAAGGACTGAACCTTTTTTGTGGATAAGAAAATATTGAATCCTGAGACAGACACCTGTTGTGGATAATTTCTAGCTGAACTGTTTAGGTTTCAGATAATTATTTTTGAAGTGCAAACCTGTTCCTTCCTTGCAATTAAGCCATACCCCCTGTGTCCATACACATTTATTCATATCCTGCAGTCATGCACCCAGTGTACTGATCCTGTCCTGGAAAAGCACAGCCTGATTCCTTTTCCAAACAAACATATTCTTACTAATTGAAAATAAAGGAAGAAAATATGGGAGATTAATCATTTGGATACACACCAGGATAAACACAGGTAGTATTCACTGCATTTCTCGCCTCTGGCATTACCCACTATATAATTTCACCTATGCTACTCTTTTCTGGATCAGCTGCTTAACAAATTAGTGGAAAATAACTAGAAGGAAATTGAAGGGAATGTAAAAGCATAGTATCTGGGAAAATATAAAAAGCGACTGTGTGAAGTGCTAAAAAACAGAACAAAGAGTTTTCAGAGCAGCAATTTCAATGACCAAATCAGTCTTTCTTCCTTTAATTTCCTGTTAATCTACTGAGGAGTCAGTCATGAAGTTCAGATGTGAGAACATACTGGGTGTTATGGTTTGGCTGCGGCCAGCAACAAAAGCACCACGCGGCCGCCCCTGCCCCCGCCGCGGTGCGG